AAAAAAAGCCGTGTAGCTGCCACAGGAGATAGATGCTAGATGCTGGACGGAACCTTACCGGTAGGCCACAGCCATGTGGTGATACACAGATTGATAGAAATTGGTTAATTTAAGATGTAAGAGCTAGCTCACAACATACTTAAGTGATTGGCCAAGCAGTGTTTTAATCAATACAGTTTCTGTGTGATTATTTTGGATCTGGGTGGCTGGGAATGAATGAGCAGCCTCCGACTACAACTAGGCAATTCTCCTGCCTTAGTCTCTCAATGGTGATAATAGGCATCAATCATCACACCTGGTCAAGTTTCTCTTTTTAATTACCTTTACTCTTTATTGTGCACACATGTGTGTGCATCCATGATGTGCTTGTGAAAGCAAGAGCACAATTTGGGAAAACTGGCTTTGTTCTATTATGTCGGTTTCAAGGATCAAACTCAGGCCCTCAGGCATGGCAGTAAGCCCCTCAAGATTAAGCCAACCCTTTATCCCCAAGAGTTTCAATTATTTTCACAAGAGTACCCATCATGTCATAATGCTTCATCAGCGTTTATTCAACATCAATTTTTTCCACATTAGATTTTTCTAGTGCCTTTGCCCAGTAGGAAGGGATGATATAGACAGTTTGATTCTGTATTCTTCTGCCTTAACAAAATCAGATTGTTTTGATTATTTTTAGTGTAACTCTTAAATCCACTAGTATAATTCTTCAAGTTTATTTATCATCAAAATTGCTATTGTTAGCCTAACTTCTATCCTCATGACATAATTTTACAATTACTCTGCTATTTGGAGGTGAATTTGCATAGTATTTTAAAATACTGAGTTTTTGTCAATTCCTGAGGTAAGGTGTTAGGTAATGAGTTCTTAAGTGTAAAGTATGGTGATGAAGGACATGGTTTATTCTAAGTGTAGAATGATCAGAAAGACATCTTAAGACTCAAAATGGTTGAAAGAATGGCCAAAACTGATGAGAAATAGAAGAGCAATGTAGCAAAAGGAGTGGACACCATTCAGCTTCATCTACAGTTAGTTTGTTTCCCAGTGTACGGCAGCTCAGCCCCAAAATAATCACTTGGAAACTGTATTAATTAAGTCAATGCTTGGCCCATTAGCTATAGCTTCTTATTGACTAACTCTTACATATTAATTTAACCAAGCTCCATTAATCTGTGCATCACTGTGAGGTTATGGCCTACCAGCAAAGTTTCAGCATATCTGTCTCCAGCAAGTCCATGGCTTCTCCCTTACTCTACCTCCCTTTCCCCTGTATTCAGTTTAGTTTTCCCTGCCTACCTAAGTTCTTCCCTATCAACAGGCCAAGGCAGTTTCTTTATTAACCAATGGTATTCATAGCATACAGAGAGGAATACCACATCACCTCCCCTTTTCTGTTTAAATAAAAAAGGAGGGCTTTAACTTTAATATGGTAAAATTACATATAACAAAACTGTTATCAAGCAAGCATTATAGTTACAATATTTGTTTCTACTTTATCTTTTATCATAACTAAGGAAACCTATAACTATAATGATGAATTCTTCAACTCCATCAAAGACTCCAGAAGGATATAATATTACCTAAGTAAACAATAAGTTATTTTTTTTTTGAGACAGGGTTTCTCTGTGGTTTTGGAGCCTGTCCTGGAACTAGCTCTTGTAGACCAGGCTGGTCTTGAACTCACAGAGATCTGCCTGCCTCTGCCTCCCAAGTGCTGGGATTAAAGGCGTGCACCACCACCACTCGGCACAATAAGTTCATTGCAAGCAACTTCCAAAACTCTAGTGATAGAGTAAGGTTATTGGTTAAGTAATAAAGAAACTGCTTGGCCTCATAGGTTAAAACATAGGTGGGAGGAGTAAACAGAACAGAATGCTGGGAAGAAGAGGAAGTGAGCTCAGAGATGCCATGCTCCCCTCTCCTGGGCAGACACATGAAGCGCAGACCCAGGATGGACGTAGGCTAGAATCTTTCCTGGTAAGACTGATGCTACACAGATTATTAGAGATGGGTTGATCGGGATATGAGAATTAGCCTGTAAGGACTAGAGTTAATGGGCCAAGCAGTGTTTAAAAGAATACAGTTTCCATGTAATTATTTCGGGGCATAAGCTAGCAGGCATCCGGAGTGCTGGGGACACAGCCCCGCCGCTCATATTACTACACTCTAGAAATAACAGAGACATCTCGCTGCCTAGTCAGTCACCCAATGTTCTTTTTTTTTAACCACTGAGGTATCCATCTTCAGCCTACAGGCTATAATATCCAGCATACTTTCCACGAAGCAGGGTATTTTAAAGACAGTTCTGTCAATATTGGCAGTTTGTCAGTCACTTTCTTCTGTGTTCTGCAGAATGTCCTACAGACTCCTTCATGAAACAGAAACCCCAAAGGATCATCTCACCTTTAGGCAAGTTCAGCAGTCATTTCTCTGTGGGTCCTGCATGTCTAGTTCGTCAAGCAGTCCAGGAAAGAGCAGTTTCTTGACCTATGGCTAACCAACTCCATGAGGAGCCCCTTCAATGCCCATCTTCCTCCTGAAGTTGATTGGTGCTGCCAGGAGATACTGTGTCTCACTGTCATGGAAAGTCCCAAGTTCTTAAAACATTTTAAATGTCTTTGAAAGATTTGAAGAACTCCTCTTCATCTGAAATACATCTCTGTACATCTAGAAAATCTAAATAACATGACTACAAGTTTGACCATTATCAATGATTATTTATTAACCTATATGTCTTAATTATACTTTAAGACTCAGCTACTTTTGGAACATGATCAAAAAGACTGATGAAAACTCATGAAGGGAATCAGTCTGCCATAACCAGAGACAGTGTTGCATCAGGGGAATGCATAGATACAGAGATGGACATTAGAAGCCTTGTATTGGACAATTAAAGGTATGATGTTTGGTAGAACCATGTTTTGTGGGAAAGATCTAACCACATCATAGCCTTAGGACAAATGAACAATCAGACAGGGTGATGCTATAGCCAATTGGTGGCCGAAACTCTGGAGCTACCTGTGGACCATACAGTCCACTATTCAGAACCAAGTACTCTCAAGTCCCCAGCAATCACTTTATTTCTGTAGTAAAATTGTTTTTGTGGAATATCTAATGCTGAAAAGACCTTTACTACAGGGCACCAGAACTCTATGGGACTTCAGAATGCTAAGATTCCAGAAGAAACAGTAAAAAAGCTGTGAGAAAAAAAAACACCAACTTGGCAGTAGATGCTAACTGTGCACATTAACAGAAGATCTTCCCATGGGCGTGGGGCAGGCAAGACAGGCACTGGATAATGTCCTTCAAAGGAAGTAACTACCAGCCAACAATACTGTGTCCAGCAAATGTATCTTTTTTCCATAGATAAATATAAATCAGTAATATCCATGACCACCAAGTGTGCATTGCTGAAGATAGTGAGAAGGATCCTATACTCAGAGGAAGACAGAAGATTATGTCAATCACAAGCACACAGAAAAGATTACATCAGGTGAGAGGAATTTGACCAGTACTCAGAACAAACAACAAAATCACAGGACTCATTGGACCCTTGTTTTAAGCTCTCAGTGTAAATGGTCATATCTAAAAAGATTAAAATGGATGACCTAGGAGCTACTAATTCATCCCCTGAACCCACATGATATGAGAAAATGGATTACTGCAGGTTGTACATTTGTCCTGAATAATAAATATATGAGTAAATAAATTTCAAGTCATCAAATATAACAATTATGACAAAATAAGATCCAACCATTTATTTTCAACAGGAAACACACCTCACTATCAAGGACATGCAGACTCCAAGTGATAGAAACGAAGTCAATATTTCAAGAAAATAGTAGTCAGATTTAAATAGAGGTATTCATTATTACTTCATAAACTAGGTTTCAAGCAAAAATTAATCAAAATTTAGGAAGATTCTATGCTATATATTAATAACTAAGAACCATTAATCATAACTTTAAACATATAACACTCAGCATAGTGACACCCAATTTCATAAAACAGACATTAATTTGGAAAAAAATGTAGATAGGTTCAGATAGAGTAGTGATGGGTGGCTTTAACACCTGCCTCTCAATAGATATATTATCCAGAAAAAAGCAACAAAGATACTTCACAGGTAAAGTAGACCCTAGATTAAATGTACTTTACAACTATCTGTACAGTGTTCCATGCCATGGGAAGGAAATACATGTTCCCTTTTAGCAGTCTGTGGAACTGTCTCTAAAGTAGGTCAAATTGTAGGCCAAAACAATCCTTCACAAACAAAGTTGAAAAACTTCCCTGTATCTTTATAGATCACAGGAAGCAAACCTAAAACAGCATTCAGTATTTGGAAATTTCATGAGACACTTCTTTAATGAGCATGAAGTCATTGAAGAAATGAAGATAAAAATCTAAAAGCTACTAATACTGAGTGAAAATCAAAGCACAGTCCCTTGGGACTTTTGGGGTCTAGCAGAGATGATGCTTGGGCATTTACATTGGAAGAAACCTAAGAGACGTTTCATATAACTCATTCATATACCTCATGGTCTTAGGAGAGGAAGAGTAAGTTAAATCCAAAATGAGTAGGAGATGGAGAAATATCTTATCAGTTGAGAGCACTGAGAGCTCTTCCAGAGGACCTTGATTCAATTCCCAGCACCAACATGGCAGCTTACAATTGTCTGTAACTCTAGTTCTAGGAGACCTGAAACCCTTACACAGATATACATGCCAGAAAAAATGCATATAAAGTAAATATAAGAAAAAAAGAGAGAAAAAAACAAATAGTAAATAACAAGGAAGACATTAAGAAACCAAGGGAGAATTGCAAACAACCAATGAAACAAAAATAAGATTGTTTGAAAACATATGAGCAAAAATTTCTCAGCCCAACTAGGCAAAAGAATGAGAAAGAAAATGAGGCATGAGTGAAGGAAAAGATAAACAGGGAACATCTGCAACAGACATTCATGAAAACCAGATCATTAGGAGGTGCTTTGGAAGCCTACCTTTCAACAAGCTGGAGCGCCAGGAGAAAAGGATCCACTTCTAGACAGAGATGACATGCCAGAATTAAATTAAGACGATATGACGCAAACCTGTGTAGAGAGGCAAAGATGACTGCAGAGGTAATAGAGCTTCCCAAGGGGGTAAGCCTGGCGTAAGATGGATCCACTGCTCAATCCTATCAGACATGTATGCTCTTCTTGCTTCCTCTAAGCAGGAAGGGAAAGACCAGAGTATGTCAGTCGCTTTTCTCATTGCTAGAAGAAGAGACTTGGCAAAAGCCACTTAAGGAAGATTTATTTTGGCTCCAGTTTCATGGTGGAATGTCACAGCAGTGGTAGTTTGAACCAGATGGTCACATTGCATTTACATTCAAGACAGCAAGAGATGATTGCTTTTGCTCAGCCACCTTTCTTCCTATACCGCCTGTGACTCCAGGACACAGAATGATAACACCATGGTTAGGGCTTGTCTTCCGTCAAAGATTAATCTAGATAATGCTTCCCAGGCATGCTAAGAGGCTTGTTTCCATGGTGATTCTCAGTGCTGTCAGGTTGATGGTTCATATTAGTCATCAAGTCTATCAGGTTCCTTCCATGAAGCCAATGTTACTCTGATACCAAAAGTAAAATAAAAGCCTTTTTTCTCAATGAACACAGACACAGGCATCCTCAGTTAAATACCTGTGAACTTAATAAGACATTGTAAAAAGCCATACACCATGGACAAATTAATGTTACTCCAAGAGGGCAGGGATGGTTCAGTGTATGCATGTGAATGAATGAATGAATGAATGAATGAATGTATTACAATAGGTAAGTAAATGAGGGGACAGAAATTACATAGTTTCAACAGAAACAAAAAAAAAGGTTTTGACAAGGTTCTACATCCCTTCTTGATAAAAGAAAAAAACACAACTGATGGTGGTGGTGGCCAGGTCCCAGAAAAGAGGGGAGGAGTTGGTGAGGGAAGGGTGAGTCGGGCATAAAGGTCCAGAGAATCTTGCAGCCTGATTCACTAGCAGCCAGAGTGCTTCTTTCTTTATACAGAATTCAGTACACAGGGATAGATTCATATTGTTCCAAAACAGAGTTCATATCATTTTTTTTGTTTTCCGGCACACGTATAACTTTTTGCACAGCTGAAGTCATAAGATTAGTCAGCACTGAATCTGTCACAGAACAGAGTTTTCTTTTGCAACCATTTTCCCTTAAGTTTAGTCAACAGAGTTATCTTTTATAGTCTTTTTTATTTATCAACTCTATAACCCAATTTTTAAAAATCTAGAGGTATATGACAGCCTGTTCTCAAGCTGGTAGTTCTTGTGCTTTCAAGGACACTAGACAGAAAGAAAATTTTCAAGCCAAATTCCCAAGAAGTGTATTATTAATTCCTAATGGTATTATTAATTCTTAATTCTTAGTGCCTAGAGTGCACAAAAAATTTTCAGGCCCGAACTGTTGCAATTATTATTCAAATTCTGACATAAGATAATGTTTATATCTTTATAGAATTTATTTTATATTAATTTATTTATTTATAAGTGTTTAGAAGCTTAAACACTAATGCTGGCGTTCTTGTGTTCCTCGGTGATAAGATTCCACACTGGCCCTGCCCGAGCTACCTTTTCCGAGAAAGGGAGGTCCTGGCACCTCATTCTTCTTTCATCTTTCTCCACCATTCTTTGCCCATCAGTGTAAGTCCATGTGTAGGGCAGAGGTGATCAGCTAACCTAAGTTTTCTGTTGTGTATGTCATGTACTCGCCTGAGGATAGAGTAGGAAGAATCTTGTCATCTGATCTGTGTCTAACTCCTCTAGCCCACCGAATCTCGTTGACCCTTTTAAATTACTTTGTTTCAATTATCTTGTGCCTGAGTAAGTAGAGGGACAGATATTTGAAGAACGTGTCATAGCTTCATAGAGAGACCTGTGGCTTCTTTATGTGTGTCACAACCTCAAATGCATAAGGAAGACCTTCATGTGAATAAGGTTATCTCCCTAAAAGTGGGAGGGCTAGTATGCTCAGGACTTTCCTGGAGAAGCTTACAAGCAGTACTCCTGGGAGAAGGCATAAATGATTCATAAAAAAATTTCTGGCGATCCACTATCCTCAAATTATACAAACATTAAAAGTCCCCAAGCATGCAACGTGAGATCAAAAACAAAGGTGGCATGGCGGCTACCAAGTGGCTCAACTTTGGTGGATCTTTGTCAAGCAGCTGTGCTGGCTTTATAAATTTTGCTGTTCCCATCAGATATGACTATGCCAAAACTCCAAACAAGACCCGAAGTCACGGAACATAGTAAGGCTACATTTAACAAACCTATAGCCAGCATTGCATTCCCTGGAGATAAACTGAAAGCATTTATTCCAAAGTTGGGAATGTGAAACGGAGTCTGCTTTCTTCCCACCTGTTCCATACAGAAGCCTCAATTCTTAGCCATAGCAATAAGAAAAGAGAAATAAATAAGAAAGATACAACAGGAAGGAACAAGGCCACAGTATTCATCGCCCAACATCTACCCTTTGGAGACGATCTGATCCTATACTTGAAAGACTGTCAATACTTCATCAGAAAATTCCTAGCTCTGAGGAGCACTTTCAGGAAATAGAATACAATGAAGCATGCAAAAGTTATTAACTTCCTTATACGCAAATAAACTTTATGGAAAGAAATGATGAAAAACTAGCATTCAGAATAGCTTACAGTTGTCTGGGAATAAACCTGCTGGAGAAGGCAGGGGGCATGACACAGAAACGTTTCAAATGTTGAAAATGTTTAAGAAGGGACTGGATGGTGCAAGACTTCCCAACTGAAAGAATTAACAGTGTGAAAACGGCTATGCTACTCCAAACGATGCAGAGATTTAAATTTGTTGTCACTTTTTCTCATGGAAGTTAAAGTCTAAAATTGTTATAAATCAGAAAAATGCCAAGGAACCAATGCTGTCCTAAACATAAAAAGTAAGTATGCTTTAATTTTTATAATTATGACTTCAATGTAGATAACTTGCAAGTAAAAATCATGACACAGCAAAGTTAGCCAGACCAAAAGTATGTATCTATATCTTTGCATGTATGTATACATAATACACATATATGAAGTGGTGGCGCTTCCAGTTAGATTTTACATTTTCACTCAAATATTTTAATGCACTTATATGTTACTACACATAGACATACATCTATAAAACCCACGACAGTGCTAAAATTATGAAAACTATTAGCTGTATGTTCTCTTTCACAACTCCTGTGCTCATTACCTGCTTCAGTCCTTCCTCATTAGCCAGTGTTTGCCCTTTCTTGTTCTTCTTTCTACATGTGCTGTAGCCACATGTATGTTTCTTTGTTACCTTTTGGTAACCAAAGCCATCACTCTATATATTTCGCATGATATAGATCTTTTTTCTGTTTCTGAAGTTAAGATGTCACTCTTTGGTAACAGTATGCAAGAGAAAAGACAGTAGGTATAACAATCTCTATTATTGCACTTAGTTTTATACTTAAAATCATTTATTTGTATCAACTAATTTTTGAATAACAGTGCAGGCTCTGGATATGATCTATAATAATCTATGTATCCATTAATGTGTTAATAATCTATCAGCTATTCATCACATATATCTGTAATCTACTGTCAATCATACATTAATAAATCATCCATCTTTCATCTATTTGTCTATTATTTATCCAAAAATCCAACTATCACATGTTTGTAGCATATCATCTACCTGTCTATTTATCTACCTATCTGTCTATATCATCTATGTATGCATGCATGTATGTATGTATGTATCTATGTAGGTATGTATCTATCTATCTATCTATCTATCTATCTATCTATCTATCTATCTATCTATCTATCTATCTCTAACTAACTGTGTATTTTTTGTTTCTTTGACATGAGCTCTCACTATGTCATACAAGCTGGCCTAGAACCTAGGATCCTATATCCTTGGGCTCCTGAATAACAAAGTTACCAGGGTACACCAACAACACATAGAACCTGGTAGTATATACTTTATACACACTTGTTTTAAAATATTCAATGACCTATTTCTCTTTGTCCTGTGACATTTAATGAACCAAACCAAGGCCAGGGCATGTAATTATAATATATTATAAATAATTACATCCCTTCTATATAACAGGCATATAGGTGAAGTTACAAGAATATTTGTTAATTATTTTTAAAATCAAAATCTATCATTAGAACCAGGTATGGTGACTCGTGCCTGAAATCTCAGTACTTGGAAAACTGAGGTAATGTATTCCAATGAGTTCAAGACCATCCTACACTACAAAGTAAGATCCATGCCAGCCTGGGTTACATGGCAAAACTCTGACTTAAAGAAAAACAAGTCTTTAACTCTTGCTGGAATCTGTGTATTTCTCCGTCTGTATAGATAATAGATTTTTATTTAAAAATTGGAGTTTGAATATTTTTTCTTTCTTCTCTGACAGTAGCTTTCAGTTTCTTATAACACATCTATTTCCAGTACATGGGGCTGCAGGACAGAAGAGATATTTGTTCTGGCATGCTTTCTCTCCAAACCTTTGAGTCGGGTCTTACAGAGGAGTCAGATGTGGTTTTATGGTGACATAAAATAGCAGACACAGGCAGGTTCTCCTGGATGAATTCCCCATGTGTGGGCAACACCGACATGTACAGGACAAGCCAGTGGATTACCTCATGCAGTAGAGAACCGTAGGACCCAAGGTCTCACCACATGAGGGACACTGTGCCTAAAGTTCTTATGTTCTTCTCTGAATGTCACCCAGACCCCAGGGTCCCTTTAAGAGAGAAGACGTAGTCTGTATCACAGCTGTTCTGTGATTTTTGAGGACCCTAGAAGAGACAAGTTAAGTTGGACATTTTCATACCATGAAAAGTTGGTATAATGTAGGCTATTTGATGGCAAAGCTAGGGTTCTGCTTCAATAAAATATTTAAGAGTATCATCAAGATTCATAGGACAGTGTTATGTATTTTGAACCTGGCCATGCTGGAATCTTAAAGGTTGGGTACAAGATATCAAACAATATAATAAAATCTCATTTTCATAAATTCAATCAGGCCACAGCAGACATCTGTCCCCAAGAGAAAGGAAATGGTGAGAACTATGGTCGAATCAGGTCATATCCGCTTCCAGTCCTGCTGCCCTTGGTAGGGAACACAGGCAAGGGAGCTCTTCATGTGTCCTGGTTTCCTTCATCAGAACTGGATGCTTCTTGCCACCCATTGCTGGGGTGATGGCTCACATCATTCACACAGGAAATGTCTCAGTGTGGCCCTCTAAGTATCTCTTTAAGTTCGGTTATGTCAACTCTGTGAACTCCTGTTTATAATTATACTCGTTTAGTGATTTGGATGTGTATGCCTATCATTGTTTTTAATTGAACTCGGCATAGCAACTAGTAAAGAGTTCCTATACAGGGAGAGACATGGCTTGTGTTTTGCACTTCCAGTTTGTTCATGAGCACAGGCAATGCTTAAAAAAATACACATCACAACTTCTCACCAGACAGAGAAGATATGCTGGAGCAAGCGAGTTTCCTGAAAAGCATCATGTCTAGCAATATGGAGATGGTTTTGTTCCTTCGGCTTGAATGCTGCCTTCAAACGCACCAACTGATTTTTGCTGATCTCTTACTAGAAGGCCGTTTGTCATCCGAATGCTCCTGCTGTCGACGACACAGGCGGAAACAAACCTGTGGTAGTCGCAGACATGTGGGTCTGATGCTAGTGCTGTTGGACGTGGGACTTTAGGATGGATGATACATGAGGTGAAAGAAACACCTACTCTTATTCTTGGTTATAACAAGTCTCAGTAGGTATCAGAGAGCACAAGTCATTTACAGCTGACATCTTTAAACCATCACAGAAGGAGGGATGGAAATGAAGGCATCTACCCTCCAGTTGCCACATATTTGGATCCTAGGCTCAACTGATGTTTGCATTGCTTGTGGCAAGTTCTTAAAAACTTGGAAGGATGTGTATGCTCAAACAATCATTTTCCAATTTTCCATATCAGTATGTGCATATCCAACTGATTTTAGGGCCTTCTAATTCTGTGACTATATCACAATCTGTGTAATTGGTCCCCTATTGACAGATTATCTACTACCAAAACATATTGATAACTCTATACTACATTGTAAGATAGATATTATCAATGCAGACTATTAGAGAACAATACTAATAAGGAAAAACATAATACATACCAGAGCCTGTTTCTCATCTTAAGGCTGCCCTACAATGAACAGTCCAGTAGTTTAGTGCTGTGTGATGCCACATGGGATCTGGCTGTAAGGTAGTCCTGGGACAGTAATGAACTGGCTGATGAATAACACATAGAAATGACTAAGGTTAAAAATCCATTCCTCTAATGCAGGAATAGAATTTATTCATAAGACTCCTCCAAAAATAGACTCAACTTTCAAATAGTACACACCCGAGAGACCCACACCGCAGCAAATGTTCCATGCAGCTTGCCCACACCATGAAGTACTGACAACTCCTTTTGACCAACAATTTGGGGTATAACTCGAATGTCCTCTTGTCAGTGTCCAATGCCACCTATAGTTTTCGTGACCAGCGAGCCAAGAGCCTGGAGGTGGCTCTGCTCAGCACACCTTCCCCTCGGGGGAGCTCCAAGGAGCCAAGCCAGTCTGTGAAATGTGTCTTCCACCGTCACATTGACAAGGCTAGGACAGCATTCATCTGGAACACCCCGCCAGATGCTGCCATGGTGTCCTGTCAATATGCTCACTTGGCCTGTCACGGCTGTCCTGACACAACGCTTGCTCTGTCTGGTAACTGTCAAAGATACTGTTACATTGGCAGCCCCGGCGGGTGACGCACTTGACTCTCTCCCTCTTTTGCAATCTCATATGATCATAGATAAAGAGAAGGACTGGCGATAAGTCAGTCTGTTTCTAATGAGTAAAGTACCAGAGTGAATTCATGCCTTCCGTTTAAAACAATACGACAGATGGTTCATAGAAGAGAGAAAGCAAGGCAGACCCCCCCTCCACTACACACACCCCACTCACATGCAGGTGTCCTGCCCTGGGTTCCCCCTTCCTCTTTTTTCCCTCACCTCTCTTGCAATCTGCTGAGTCAAGCAAACCATACCTCAATAAAGCCTTCAGAGTTTAGAAAAATTATTGAATATTGTAGAAATTCTTCAAATGTGGATGTTGTAATAGTGGAAAACATTCTACGTGCAACAAGGTTTGGGCTCAGGAGCACTGTGTGCAGTCTCCCTCCTTGGGGGTGTGCAACTTGCTGTGTCCAGGTTGATCAATTAATACCTTGACAGGAAACCAAGGTCCAGGTTGCAGTTTGAGCAAGATGTACCAGAGGGAAGCTGGATCAATGCTATGGTGAAATGTCACTCTTTTGGCAACTGCCTCTGGCTTTTAACTGCTTCAAATTAAAACATTTTTTAAGACTCTGAATGACAAAAGACCAGGTTTGAGTCTTGAGAAAGGAACTTTCTGAAGACAGGAGGCTGCATCTTTGTGAGGAAACACTGGCTTGCTCCCCTGTGGTCTCTGCCTGTTGCAGTTAAGGCACATTGGTTCAGCTGTGTCCACACATCGATCTGTTGGAGCCTTAGAGTGTTCAGCTTGAGAGAACATTACTTCAACCTTTAAAGAAATGTTCAGCCAGAAAACACTGAGGGCTCAGAGCAGGCAGCCGTCTCTTAGTCCCCTGAGACACAAAGACAGAGAGACAGAAACACAGAAGGTGAGACATACAAAGAGGGAGAGAGACAAGAAGAGACAGGGACAGAGAGAGAGAGACCCAGAGGGTAAGACACACAGAGACGTAGGCAGGCACACACACACAGAGAACGAGACAGACAGACAGAGAGGCAGAGCATGAAATACACACAGAGAGACATGGAGAGTGTGATAAAAGTGCCCAGCAGATTCGGTGCTTAAAATAGCAACAGCAAAGAAGCAGGAGATGCATGGAGGGCAGAGGTTAATTCCATAAGCCAAAAAGCTAATGCTCTGATTGAAAGGAGGAAGCATGCATCTGTACTTACAGTTGCAAGCAAGAAGGCATGCCGGCTGGGTAGCCTGCAGCCCACAGAATTAGAAAAATGCTTTCTGAGTCTTGTCGTTCTTTATAGACCAGAGGAGAGTCTTGTCAGCAACACACAGAGAGCTCTTCTCCTCATCCCTCGGCACAGGAAAAGCCTCCCGTGGGGGAGGGGGTGTGTGAAATCCTGTGTAGGCACCCCCCTTTATGCCAGGGCATATTTGATCCACATAGGAGGAAAGTTTTAAAAATGGCTGCATGTAGCTCCAACACTGACCTGCTGCTGGTCAGGCATCCAGAGCCAGAACGTGGCCACAGCCAATCCAGTCCCAAAGTCTCTGGAGAAGACTTTCTGAACAAGCTATGGCGGTGGCAGCTGGAGGTGGGAGTTGGGGATACACAGGTGCTACTTAAATACTGCCGTGGGGAAGGGAGCTAGATGGACCAAGTACGGATAGAAGATTTTGTGCGTTCTTGTTTGAGTTATGCATGTAAAACTCAGCCCCATTTTAGGGAATGCAGTGGCTTGTATTAGGAATTGGTCCCAGATGGTCTCTCCCGTTTTATCTTCCATCCCATTTCCACTGAGGAAGCACATCCTGCTAGCCCAGTGTTTGCTGGGATCTGGAAATAAGAAAACTCAACTCAGATGGAGCATAAACAGTACCTGTAGCTGCCGCCTGTTTCCCCAGCTTAAATGGTCTCTTGTTGCTGTTTTGGAAATTTGCTCTCTCTTTGCCCTGCCCTGCTCCTGCCCTGTTCCTCTGGCTTCTATGCGGTTTGGCTCTCCACCCACCATTATCTTAATTGTCATTTGAGATTATCCACTTATGGTCTATAAGTCACCCTTGGAGATGAGGAATACTCGTGGGCTTGGACTGTTCTCAACCTAGGCAACCCCTTCTTCCACCTCTTCCCGAAGTTGGGGAGATCTGCTTTCCACCAAGATCTTCCAGTTTCCTGTCCACACTTGAGCCTACCTAACCATCAAGATCTCATTTCTTCGGTGTGGGATGTTTAATTCTAATATTCCAGCTAATTCATTATCAACTCCTGGGTGTGAGGAAGATGGCTCTCTCAGGGAAGGTTCTGGAGGGAATTTCCTTGTACATTATCAAGACACTCTTCCACATGCTCTGCCCTGGTCCAGACAGCCTTTCCTTTCCCGGGGAATGGTGGCGAAAGGAAATGAAATGGTCTGTCCTGGATGCTAGGATCTCACTGCTGATTCAGTATGAGACCTGCACACATTAAGCTAGAGAGAGTTACTCAAGCTCAGAGTTAGCATGGGAGAAACCTCTCCCTCCTTCAGGGGTGAAACTTGATGGAAAAATATCAGGTGACCTGAAGTTACCTCGCCTACTTACCATGAGCCAAATAAATGGAAGAGGGGTTTGCTTTGGGTCAGAACAGCTCTGATGATTGAAACAGGCATGATGGTACCCTGGTGTCCCACCCAGTCAGACATAGGAAAATCCTCTCTTCTTTGCAATGGCAGAGAAGGGTTCTCCACCACTCTCTGCACCTCCCCTGTGCCAGTGTGTTCTCCCCTCCCTTCCTCATTTCTTTCTCCTTTCCTCCTGCACTCTGATGTAGAAAAATGAATTTGGATTTTAGTCATAGGCATTCAAGAGTGATCCAACAGTGCTAGCTGTTCCTTCACCTCCTGGGTTGCTTCTTTTTCCATCTCCTCTCTTCAGACACTCCCCTTTACATGCGCACCCCATTTGCTGTTGCTCAGTGTTTACAGAAACCAGAACTTTGTGTCTGTTCTCACTGTCGTCATTTCAGTCCCCTATCTCCAGTCTGCCTGGTGTCTCTCCAGTCTTTCTGGCCACACTGAATTATTAAAATCTGGTTCCAGTTCAGTCAGCCCAGACGCCTTATCTTCCTTTTTCCTGTATTTCCTCACTAGTACTATGTGGTTTTATATTTCCAATATTTCATTATCCTCTGTGTTTGAAGTTCATTATTTTCTATTCCATATGTGAACATTTTATACTATATGATTGAATGAATCTCTTGCTGTCATTTTGGACCCCTGGTCTGACTCATGCAGGGTATCCCACAAGACTCTGGAAAAGTGACTTTGAGTACAGAAGAACATGTTGGTCTTGTGATTCTGAAGGCCTTCATCAGTTGTCTCCATCAAATAAAAGAATGGCCAGACTTCAAAAGAAATAGTAGGTATTAATGTATTCACATAGCTGCGCAATTGCCAACGCCATTAAATTTTAGATTATCTATATATTTTAGAAGTCTATTTTCTCCAAAAAGAAATACTTTACTCTTACACAGTGACTTCCCAATCCTCATTCAAAAAGTTTTCAAGCTGGATGTTTTAGTGATATTTCATTTGTATTTTATTTTATTTTATTTTTTTGTTTTTCGAGACAGGGTTTTTCTGTAGCTTTGGAGCCTGTCCTGGAACTAGATCTTGTAGACCAGGCTGGCATTGAACTCAAAGAGATCCACCTGCCTCTGCCTCCCGAGGGCTGGGATTAAAGGCATGCACCACCACCTCCTGACTTCATTTGTATTTTAACAAATAAAGCTTGTGTGAAGATCAGGAAAAGCAAAACAGCCAGACTGGCCAGTCTTACAGACCAGGTAGCAATGGCACATACCATTAATTCCAGTAGTCTCAGTGACACACACCTTTAATCCTTGTAGCCACACTAGTTGCCATAGAAACCAGGCAGTAGTGGTGCATGCCCTTAATCCTAGAACTGGAGAGGATTATAAAACAGGAGGATACAGCTCTCAGTCTCATTCTGAGGTTTCTTGGAGGCAGAATCGCCATTTTCAGACTGAGGTCTAGGTAAGAGCCAGTGGCTGGCTTCTTTGCTTTTCTGGTCTTCAGGTGGAACCCCAATATCTGTCTCAGAGTTTTTAATTAATCGTGCTTCACGAAGTTGTCAATAGCTCCTACCACCATAGAGTCTTCTGTGCTACACATTTCCTCCATGTGAACACATGTTTTTAGGGTCCTTCTATGTCAACATATGTTAACATCTCTCATACATCTCATAACTCTATTTCCTCCGATTGCTGAATGATATTCCATCTCATGGTGCCCCTTTATTTCATTTGGTAGAAATTAGGATTGTTTCTATTATCATGTTGTTAGAAAAAGTCCTAGTATGAACAGTTGTGTTCAGGCTTCTGTGTGGTCAGCGGCGAGCAGACTGGTCAGTGGTTATCTGTTTAGCATGTGAGTCCACATCTTCCTGAGCACCGGGCTCTAAGCTATTGTGCAAGGAGGCTTCCATCTCCTGGTTATGAATAGCAGACGTGTAATTTCTGAGTTATGACTGCCTATCAGGAGTCATTGGCATTTGTCAAGCTGACTTCAGTGTCCTGGCATTTTCACCATATTCCACCCCCAGCAAAATTTGAAAATTTCAGTACAAAATTTCCATGTTTTCTTATCTTTTATGCATGTACTGATATCTCCTTGTGGATCTCATTCCCACAATGAATTATGGAGCTTAATTTCCCGATGTGTACCTGGTGTGACACAGCCTCTTGGCTGGGGTGAAGTACCCTTCAGTCCCTGCCTGTTAATTTTTTATTTTTACATCTACATTTTTAAAAGTTCTCTGTACCTTATGGAAATGGTATTCGTATTTGTAACTTTTCATATATTTTTCCTCCTGTCTCTAGCCTTTCCATTTTTACAAGTCTTTCAATGGTAAAAAATAATTTTAATTTTAGTGAACACCCAATGAAAAGTTAGTTTTAAAAGATGGCTCTCTTGGTAAGCAGGAGCTTTGTCAAAATATGGAATTTAATAGTTATCATCTGGTAAATGGGGAAACCTATTATGGTGTAGCCACACAGTAGCATACAATTCACCAGGAGATAGAGATGACTACCACTGTGCCAAAGACAAAGCAGAATCCCAGAGATGCTGTGCTAAATACAAGGACCTTTGGAAAAGCTGAGACTTTTAAGTAAGTTAGAGGAATATCAGGTGGCCTGGGGCAGGAAAGGTATCACAGATATTTTGCAAATAGTTAAATGGGAATATTGTGAGGAGATGGGGTTGTTCTAAGACTAGACCGAGGTAAAAGCAGCATGATATGATACTATTTTGAGATATGAGTGCATCAAGGTAACATTTTGGCTCCTGTGTTGCACATGGTAGATTGTATATAAATTGTTGATTGTTCTTCAGTCACCAAAAGTTATACCAGGTGTTATAA